TTTGTAAAGGGGGAACTTAAAAATTTAGAAAAAAAAATTTTAGATGTGAAAAATAAATTATTATGATGCACAATGACGATAAAAATTACTTCACAGTAAAAAATTTTTCGTCAATTTGTGAAGTGTAAAAATTTTTGTGTAGCAAATTACACCTTAGTGTGTATAATTTTACATTCTCATGTGTTGATTTAACATACTAGAATGTAGAATTGACATTAGTTTGTGTAAAAACAGTCAGTAACACAAATATTTGTGTTAAATTTGACGAAAATTTTTTTACTGCATTTAAAAAAAATTTTTTTTCCTTTGAAATTGTAGGAAATGACGTTAAAATATATTTTAGAAAGCTAAAAAAGCTTTTTGGAAAAAAAAATTTTTTTTACGAAATTTTGGGGGTACCTTAATCTTTATTATATTTTTTGTTATTTAATTTGACACTTAAATAAAAGGATCTAATAATATACGGAAGCTCGAGAGATAAATTTCAAAACATAAGCGTGAACACAATATTCCAGATTTTTAGTTCAACGAACGAACTTACATACAAACGAAATAAATAAATGTATTTTTTTAGCCTCTTTACTTATTTTAGTCTCTAAAGATAATTAATTAGTTAATTCATTATTTAATTAGCCAATTAATTTTTTTAATTTTTCAATTTATTGTCGGTAATTTAATTAATAAAAAATTGAACTGTGAAATAAATTCGTGTAATTATACGTATATAATTTTAATTTAATGTTTGTTATTATTCAGAAATAACTTACGGAACTTACGTCGTTGTTACTTAAATGCTAATTTTCTAATTGAAGGAAATGAAGGAAGAAACATCCGGTGGAACTTATATTACTATGTATTTAAGCTCGATGCACAACAAAAGAAATTTATTTTATTATTTCTCAATCAGATTATTTCCTTTTCTTCTTTTAATTAGACCAAATTTTATTTTTATTTTAAGCTTCGGTGATTATTTTATACAATAATTAAAAAATAACAATGTCATTAATTAATTTATTAATATTGAACAATTTTTTTAAATATATCGTCTATTATGAGAAAATTATCAATGATTGATCTCGAACTGATCACTGACTGATCAATTATGAGTCTACCATAGATCAACGAAAGATTATTCAAAGATCGCTAATTGATCATTTTATGGAGACAATACGGAAAAATATCAGAAAATTATTGTTGCGACCTCTGTTGATAAATTTTCGGTCGTAACATAATGATGGCTTGATGATTGGCAATCAAGCTTTCTAGCTAATTGCAAATAAAATTCTACTATGATTAATCATCAAATGACTATCTAGAAACAGAATTAAAATTAAAATTACAAAATTGCCTGACTTTGACGTGTTAAAAGTGAAGCACTATCACAATCGCTTTGGGTCGGAAGACAAGCAACAAAATTAGCACGTGATCGGTTAAAAATTATCTAATGATTTAGTGATTTTGTAAGAAATTATCCAATGATCATTTAGAGATTAATTTTTCATCGCTGAGAGATCATACGGTGATTAATCATTGATCATAACGCGATCAATTAATAATCATTAAGTGAATAATTAGCAATTACTCAATGATCAATTAATAATCACTGAGTGATCAATTTTTGAACACTGAATGATCGCAATTGATGAATACTGTGATCATTTGTTATTGAAAATTTTGCAAACAAATTATTATCATCGGAGACATTAAGAAAGACTACCTAACTTTAACATTCAAAATTTTCAAGTTAGCCTATCATTTAAGTATGAGTATTCTCTGTATGTAATAAAAAATTTCATCTCAATTTAGTCAGTTGTACTTGTAATGGAACAAAAATACAAAAAAACTCTATAGAGATTTATGCAATTGAACTTCCAAAGACATCTTTCATCCTGATGTTGAAAATAATCCCCAAGCGATGCCTACTAGTCTGAAAACTTTTTCTGTCGAACTAAAAAAATAAACTTCCTCTGTGATAATGCAAAGCATTGCTGTGACCAGGATTCGAACCTGGGTTGCTACGGCCACAACGTAGAGTCCTAACCGCTGGACGATCACAGCTAATGGAAGTGTTGGAATCTAGACCATTTTATACCAAATATGCTTTTACTCGGTGATCTACTTACTTTCCCCACCGAAACCCTGTTAAATAACGATTGATTTAATAGTATTGGTGAAAGTTCAAACGTATCACTTATCTCTTTTCGATGACTTAATATTGAGCGATAAAAGTTTCAATGATAACTTTTCTTAGAGCCGAGTTACTTCGTTTCATGTTAAGAAGATGCATTTTTGTTGATAAGTTACGATATAGGTTTTTTTTAACAAAAAATTGTATAGAATCTGTTTTGAAGCTACGGATCAGCCAATAAGAGAGTGAAAGAACAGAATGAAAGTATTGATTTTGTCTCCTAGTGTGTAGAGACTAGAAGACTTATTTCTGTTCGGAGCAATTCTTGTATAATCGCATTGTTTTTTTGTAAATCTGCTTATTGTCAATCAAATCGATCTAGATTAAACACGACTCATTAATAATTTGAAAAATTTTTTAAGTTACGGAAAATACTCTTTTTATTAACAAAGCTTACAAATTTTGAAGAGAACAAAAACACTCCATCAAATTGTAGAATTTTTTTAATTATTTTTATACAAATTTTGAATCTTGTAAAATGTTTAATAATTATTACAAATTTTTGAGGTACACGGAAAAAAAAAAAAGAGAAAAATTACATTATAAATAGTGATAAGTGTCGCGACAAATTTAAAACTAGAAAAATTACAGTTCAAAATAACATTTTTACAATTTTAACTTTGAATGTTAATTTTCACAACTTTAAATGTAATATTTAATATATTTAAATGTAATTCTTACAGAATTTGTAAAAAATCGGTGACATTAGCCGAGTAGTCAAAGGCGCAAGGCCTATAGAGCACTCGATGAACTAATTCACCAGCCTGGGTTCGAATCCCAAGCTGGTCTTAGAAACCAGCTTAGTTGAGATTTGACCCTTGATGCGTAGGTTAAGATTTTCACAATCCAAAAAGACCCCAACGTATCACTCCCAACAGTTAAAGTCGCCGATATGACCACAGCAGTTAAAAACGACTCTAATTAAAAATTAAATAAAAAAGAATCTGTAGAAATTACATTTTGAAACTGTAATTTTTCCCTTTTTCTTTTTTCCGAGCATAAATATTTAATACTTAATAAATTTTACAGGCAAGTTATTCAGTGCCCTTACTTATTGTTAAACTAAGTTAATAAGATTGCTAAATTCTATCCTTTATCAAAAAATAAAAGAATCAAATCAACTTAAAAATGGTACGAATGGGTTTTTCAGTATTGATGTAAAGGTAAAAAGAAATACATATACTATGACATAAAATAGTGTAGAGAAAAGATAATACTATCATCGACGATAAATTTTAGAAGCCGACATAAACTTTACCTTGAAATAATTGGTAGTATTTTAGAGAGAAGAAATAAAAATCTAGAAGTGTAGGTGTGTAATAGTGAGAGGTAACACATATTTTTACCTTCGATTATACTGAAAAAGACGGTTAGGTGTTATCGTCAATGCACTTTAGGCATCGCGCAGGACATCACGTGCAAATTGAGATGTTTACAACGGATTGAAAGAGAAACCTGAAACGTGACAGCGTTGCAGATGCGCTCGAGTTTCTCCTTAATAAATAAATATACAATAAAACGTACCTTTATAAAAAATAATAATAAAACTATTATTGGCCAGTGAGAATTGAAACCATCAAATAAATTGTGAATTATTGCATGAGTATCAAATTTGTACAGAAAATTTAATACCACGCTTATAGGAAATTTATCTTGATCCAAAAAAATTTATTTAAAGATAGCCAATTGTCTTGTTTCAAGAATTTCTTGTCTTGAATCTTGGCGAGAGAGACCGATATCATCGACCGGTAACTATTGTCACTTGATTTAAGAGTATCGATATTATCTCCAATCGATACGATCAAATTCTTCATTTGAAAAAAGTTCTTGACAACTAACAACTATTTTGTTGTCTTGTAAGAACTTTACATTTTTTAATTAAAAACTACACAGTTATAATTTTGCGTCATTAGGTCAAAAAATTTTTTGTTAAATATTTAACGCTTTTTTGTGATAATTCTCTGAAATTAACATAAGAAAATGTAAAATTTTTAATACAAATGTTTTTGACGCAATGATGCAAAATTTTTCACTGTGTATTAGTTTCTTTATTCAAAATAACAAACAAATCTTAAAAAAAAATTTTTTTATTTAACTTCAACATCTTATCTTATTCTAAAACAAGAAATTTTTGGACAAAATATTTGTTTAAAAACACTAAAATATTTCGTTAGTGTAAATTTTCCAATTCCAATTCATCTAAGAGTTTTGATTTTTTAATTCGCGAGTTGATTTCTTAATTAAGAAACTAAATATTCTAAATTAAAGAATTTAGAAGAAAAGATTTTTTTAAAAGGCAGTTTTTTTTTAATAAAAGTGCAAACTTAAAAATAGCATTTAGAAAAGATTGATTTCTTCCTGAACGCATGCATAAGTGTGCAATACAGCCTTTGATAACGACTCAATAAAATCTTTAAGTAACACATCCTCTTGTAGCTTAAAATTGTTATTTGTTACTTATTTTTTATAATGGATAAATGATTATTTTTATTTTTCATCAGCTCGTAGCTACTCTTTTACGAGTTTCTGCAGAGTATTTGGTATATACATGTATACATATATTTATAGGCACTTTTATATAAAAATAAAAAAGGGGTTAGTTGAGAACCCTTATGATCGTTATATAGCTTATACGATGAGCCAGTTTACATTTTAATGCGCGATAATGCCCAGTATCGTGTATTATAGTACTTGGACGGTTGTCAAGCGTATATCATCGGTGTACCATGACGAGAGAGTTCACTTACCAAAGCCAATTTGAATCCTCTATAATACAACTATACTCTACTCCTTTTATTCCTTATTTTCTCCTCATTACTATATATACCGTAGTGCATGTGCACATTTAACATTAACATTACACTCACCTCGGAACATTACAATCCAGCTCCAGGCTTCTATTAAATAAAGTCCGAACTCCATATACTTATGCTTAACTTACTCTGCTCTAACTTAATACTCTACATCTACATCTACATTACTAATTCCCAACTTAACTGCCTTAAGACCAAGACGAAGAATGAAGATGGAGAATCCCTAGACCGGCGATTGTTCCACCCGCAATCGCGTCCAGTCTCCGTGACTGTACATATCAACCGATCGGTTCTTAGTTTATACTTACCCATTCGGAATACCCTATCAACAAAATGTATCATGACACGGAGCTCGAGCTATTCAACAGCTTCAACAATCTTATTTGTATTTTTTTTTTTATTCTTGCTAAGATTCTATCGCCACAATCACGAAACCATTAATATTTATAGGTTTGGGAATAATGATAAAATTTTATGCAAGGTAAAGGACCTAGGTGTTGACCCTGGCCCAGTTTCTGACCTTTTCAACTTTATTCTAAGCAAAAACAACTAAAAACTTTGACTACAACAGAGTTTTATACTTTGACTATAACAGATCTCTTAAACTTAAAAAATTGCATCGATCACCGCCAACACGAACAAAATCGGTTAATTCGTTCGTGAGATAACGTAAACGAAAAATTTGGGAAAAATAAAATAATTATTAGAGCCTAAAAAACCACGTCGGTCGACATTGGTCTGGTCAAAATAATTATAAAAATTTTTTAAATAATTTACTCACCGCATTCGTGACGGTGGTTAGAAGAAACAAGCCCAAAAAAGTAGGATACAGAGTCGCCATTTCTAAATAAATTTCAACGGGTTTTTATACCTTCTCCAATCTGAGCCAACTCACTATTTTTTTCCGTTCGACCAATGAAAAATTTATACCCTCTGACGAGTGAGAATTTTATGAAGTTTTTTAGTTCTTAGAAAAAAATAAATTATAAATGTTATCGTACTTTGCAAAATTTTATTACACTTGCATGAATATTTTTTCAATAAATCGAAGACGATAATATTTTCTGACACGTTTCAGTCAAATTTATGATTTTTTACAACAATAATTTTTTTATTATCCTGAATTATCACTTTTGTGTATTATTTCGATTCTTTTATTTAATAAGGACGCTCAAAAAAATATGTATTTATTTTTAACTTCCGCAAAGAAAATTGATAATTTTCAAAAATGGGGAAGTTATTGGTTTTACTCCGTTTTGCGAAAATCGAGTTTTCATCAGATCTCGACGTTTTAAGGTCTCAAAATTATAAAAGTTAAGATATTGAAAGACTAGTCCTGGATTACAATGTTACTACTGTAATTTTTATTTTAATTTTCTTTTCATATGTGCTATATCTAGATGTAAAATGCATTGTCAATAAACAGCCTAGATATCGCATGCCACAATTACAGTTGGTAGAAAGAGTGTGACGTGCAATCATCAAACAATTTAAGCAACTAATGACTCATAACTTGACGTGTAACATAGCAAAATGTCCCGGGAAATATAGATTTTCTTCGTTCCGCAACAACAAATGTTGTCATGGATACTTTGTATGTTATACTGTAATTTTATGAGCTTCCTGGGTCACTAAGCTTTTAATTCTTGAAGAGAGCAGACGTTAAAATTCTGCAAGCGAAATCGCGCAAATCATAAAATATTTGAGTTCGAGTATTACATTCGGTTAGATTGGCGTGAAAACTTATTCAATAAAAAGCGGTTTTATCGGGTCAACATCAACTATGTGGCAAAAAATTATTCTATGTTGTTTGATTGTCACGAGTATGGGAGAAATTAGAATGGACATTTACGATATGAAAGAAGATTCTAAAGAACGTCTTAAAAGTGATGCGGTAAGTTTATAGATCAGTTCTAAATGTGAAAGCTATAATTATGAATTAACTTCTGTTAAAAAAAAAAAAAAAAAAAATTGTATTATAAATGTATGACATGTAAAATAATAAATTGTAACAATTTATTCATTGTTCACAGAGGGAGTTGGTTGAAACTTGTCTGACGAATAATTCGAGTACTATAATGATCTCCAAGAAATTATTCGACTATAATTGGAATCCAGACAAAAATCCACTAATGATAATCGACAACGTATTCAAAAAGCAGATTACAGGTTTTCTCCCTGCGTATCCAACGTACGTGCTTTTTTTTCAGTCGATCGAAAGTCTGAAGGAAATTATTAATCATCTCAAGAAATCGACACTGTGGAGCATTAAATCACCCTTTGTGATCGTTGAAACCGAATCACGTTGTAAAAATACTAGAAGAGTTCTAGAATTCATGTGGAAGCAGGATTTATTGTCAGTCTATTACTTGTGCAACCAAAAATATTTTACGGTTATCCTCACGCTTAATCCTTATGCAAGCTATGCTCCAAAGCCGTGGGCCCTTGTTGAGGAATTTGGCGGCAGTAACAAAAATATGACCCTCTACAGTTTACAATATTCAAAAGGTACTTTATTTATTAAATATTTTTTTACATCAGAAAGTTGTACTTTTAGTTAGCTATAACCCTGTATATTTGTTTTTAGACCCAGAACTTTGTAAAAGTATAACCTTCAAAAAGACGGATCATTTAGAAAGTGTGAACATAAAGCTAACACTATTCTCTCTTAATAGAACCACGATAATGCAAATATCTCATGGTGATCATGTAAAAAAATTAATAAAGTTAAAGTTAATGAACATATTCCAGATACCAGCTTATATTAATACTACCCCAACATTAGAGATTATTCAATATCCAAATTCATCTCAATTAACGCAAGGTTTTGTTCAACAATTAGTTGATCAAACACATGACGTTCATGGATCATTGATGCCGATAACAGAAACTGATTATAAGTATGTAGATGTCATTGCGGACTATTTTCACGAGCATGAGTTCTTCATCTTGACCAAAAAGGCAGATTTTTTGACAGTAATCAGCGAAGTATCTAACGATGTAGACTTTGTAGTTATGACAATCGTGGTGTTCGTTATGTTCACGATAGCTATGGTGCTCATCAACAGAGAAGACATATGCGGGGCTTTGATGGATAGCGTAAAATTAGTAGTCAACATGGGACTTGAATCTCCGCTTAACCGACTGGCGATGAAGTTGATATTATTTTGTGGATTTCTATTCGCGTTCTTGATAGTTCCCAACTTTCAGGGCCACGTATTTGCAATCTTGTCAAAGCCTGTCAGACGCAATGTCGAAACGCTAGAAGATCTCTACGAGAATAAGTTCCATGTATACCATTATGATAAAGTGGGACGTGATATTATTAATAAACAGTTGTGGGTCACTAATGAAGATAAAAAATACCTTCATCCACGTAATAGTTTGGAGATGCAAGAATGTTTTAAAAACGCAAAGACGAATGTTACAATAGCTTGTATACATTCAAAAAGAAGACTACGGTCTTTTTCTATTGATAACACCGACGTGTATGTGTCGAAAACGCCAATCTTCAAGAAGCAATTCGTTCATTGGGCCAGAAAAAACTGGCCCTTAAAGCATAAGTTCGATAAAATGGCGTTGAAGACTTCAGAACCTGGGCTAGAATCGAATTTGCGTTCAGTAAGATGGTATGAAAGACTGTACAAGACCAAAAAAATGAAGAATAGGATAGAGGCCAGGGAAGAGTATGACAAATTCGATTATGATGAGTTGGTATTCATTTATTATTTTGTCGGATTTCTTTCTGCATTTGGGGCTATGGTATTTGTGATTAAAATCATATTGGCTAGATGGATTAGAATTCATTTATAATTTAAGATCTGATACCGTGTACGTATATCTGATCACGTTATTTTTGTTTTAATCGTTAATTAATAATTATTAACTGTGACTTGTGTGATTTGTGTGTTTTAAAATATATATATAGTTAGCGGAAAGTTGCAGGGATGGCTTTTAGGGTCAGCCTTTTTCCTAATTTTTTTTTATTTTTAATTGTAAATTGATATTAAGTATATATTTAAAAAAATAAAAAGTTATTATTATTTATTAATGTCACTTTCAAGGGATGAAATAGAATAGCAGCGATTTTTTTATCTAATTTCAATATTTTTATAAAAATTATCACGCTATCGAAAATGAAGCTTATTGGAAATTTCAACTTTGTTAGAATTCATATCATTTTATTATTCTAGTAATCTATATTTGTTCTGAATTTTGCATGGTCATTTTTTTCTTAGCCAAAGTTGCTAAGAATACAAATGAAAGTTTTCAAATTAAATAAAATTTTTCGATTTTAATAATATTTCATATAATTATAATTGCGTAATAAAAATCAAATGAAATGTTTTCAAAAAGAATATTTGACTTTGAAGAAAAAAAAAATCTGTCTTTTTAAATTTGAAGCGTTAGAATCTTGACGTAAAACATGAGTTAAATTGATGAGGGTCAAAAAATGAATATTTGAACGTCGCCTTGTAAAAAGTTGATTGCAATGGATCCATGGAATGATAAATGATTCCACACATACAATTTAGTTTAGAAACTCCTGAACGGGCTGATGAAAGCACTGATTTTTTTCTAGATTGATTTATATTAATTCAAATGTAAAAAAAAATGTTTGCACTTTGAAATGTCGAAAGCTGAGCCTCTTTACATTTTATGGCAGTCAAAAATGAACTAAATTCGTAAAAAAATATCCTTATAAGAAACTACTAGCAACCTTGCAGTCACCATCTGACTGCCGTGACTTGTAAACTATAAATAAATAAAGTTTTGCTTTATTAAATAATGACTTTTGTTAAATTGCTCTGTACTTTTTTAAATATTGACATTTTCAAGAATATAAACTCACTGCGATGTTGCACTCATGAAGAGCTTTCATTTGAGTACCCACATGCATTTTGATGTATTTTTCATGTATACATATATAATACATAAATACATACATAAACTTTTAAGCTAATGCCATTTTTTGACATTACTCGATGAAATGAAACATATTATGACAAAATTTTCTCAAAATTACGACATGAGACCGGCTACAACAGATAAATTTCTAAAGAAATCTACCTAATATAAGTTGTTTATGATACCCTAGACTTTGTTATCCTTACAACACATTCATATGTTGCCATATATCTTATGCCGTCCGAACATAAATTGTTTTTTTGCACGCTACCAAGTATAACATCAGAATTCTAAAAATTTTTTAAATAATTTACTAACTGAACTAGTAAAGGTGGCTAAAAGAAACCAGACCAAAAAAATCGAATACAGAGTCGCCATTCCTAAATAAATTTCAAACCTTTACAGTAGTTATATTTTCTTTTTTATTAAAATTTTTTGTTCCTCAACGGATTTTTATAATACCTTCTTCAATCTGAGCCAACTCACTATTTTTTTCCGTTCGACTAATGGAAAATTTATACGCTCCGATGAGTCAGAATTTGATAAAGTTTTTCAGCTCTTAGAAAAAAAATAAATAATAAATGTTATCGTATTGGCCAAGGCAATACGATAACATTTATTATTTAGCCAATTTTAGATTCTGAGTGCAGTTTAAACCGGTTCGGACCGGTAGATTTTGAGAAATCTCAAAAAAACTACAAAAAAATTTTTTTTTAATATGGTTTTTTTGGAGTAACTTTTAAATAGCTTTACCGATCAGTTCCAAAAATTAATCAGCTTTTAACATAAAAAAAAAAACCCACGTCGATCGCTGCCAAGCCGGTCAAAATCGGGTGATTCGTTCGAGAGATATCGTAAATGAAAAGTGTTTTTTCGGAATTACTCCGAAATTCCTAGTATGATCAGTTCAAACTTGAAAATTCTTCATGAGGTTTAAAAAACTGCGTCGAATGCTGCCAGCCGCGTGAAAATCGGTTGATTCATTTAAAAGTTATTGCGATTGGAAAATTCAAGAAATAGTGCTCCATGAAATTTCTATCATCAGACATTTGAGCTCAAAGAGCTCAAAAACATCGTAAGTGCAATTTTAAGCACCTAGGTATGGAATAAGTGCGAAGTTGCAGGTATGGTCTTCAGGGTCAACCGTTTTTCTAATTTTCTTCTAAGTTTTGCATGATCATTTTTTTCTTACACAAAGTTGCTAAGAGTTCAAAAGAAATTTCTCAAATTAATTAAAATTTTTCAATTTCAATGATCTTTCTGAAATGTTTTCAAAAAGAACATTTGACTTTTTTTTTCTTTTTAATTCTTGACGTAAAACATAAGTTAAATTGATGAGGATCAAAAATTGAATTTTTGAACGTCGCCTAGTAAAGTCAATGAGAATGATGAATGATTCCACACATACAATTTAGTTTAGAAACTCCTGAACTGGCTGACAAGAGCACTGATTTTTTTCTAAATTGATTCAAACATAAAAAAAATTATTGCACTTTGAAATGTTAAAAACTAAATCTCTTTAAATTTCATGGCAGTAAAAAATGAACTAAATTCATAAAAAATATCCTTACAAGAAACTATAACGTCTTTTAAATTTTAAACATACTTTTAACAACTCAGTTTTAATAAAAAAAAATGTTTTGTACAACTCTCAATTTCTCACAAAATTAATTTTAAAAAATTATATCAGTGACCAGTCAAAACGCCAATTGAACTAAATCCTCCAGATCTTGCTGTTCTTCAATAATTCGTTGTTCTTCCTGCCTTCTTGCATCAACAACCGCTTGATCATTCTCATCGTGCTCTGTATTTGGATCAGTAGGTAGAAGCCGTACCACAAAATTAGTGCGCCAGAACCTGCGCCAACGTCTTCCATGAAGCCTTGGTTAAAAATTATCAGCAACAACATAAAAATGTAAGAGTCAAAAAATATTCAATAATTAATTAACCGTAAATCGTTAGTCACCTGCTAATGTACCTGCCGAGTGTAATTATCCAGCTCCAGTAAGCAACTAAAGTTAACGAGCATGTAGGTAACATTGCAACGATCATCCAGGGTACTTCGTAAAAACCGCTATTTAAAACCATTTTTAACGCTAGCGCACAGATGTAAATTGAAAAAAGCGCTAGCGGAGTGGTCACGACAAGGTACAACACGTCCAGGATCATCTACGGCAAATTCGTCAGTCAATATTAATTTCCGTTAATTTAATTACAGAAAATAATTGATAAATTAGAGAGCAAAAACCTGTCGAGTTGCGATGACCGTGTTGAACCAAATCCAAACACTCTGCAACATTCCATGACGCGGAACTCGCTTTGTTAGATATTTGTAGCCGCACAATTCGCAGCAAGAGTGCCCTGATTCGGTCAACCATCGTTCCAAACACTCGATGTGTACTAAACCTACTGTCCCGCGGCATCTGGATTGAAAGACAAAAATTAATAAATAAATGTGCATTGATAAAATAAATTATTTGATTCAAGAGAGAAATTTCTTAATCATTAACAAACATTATTTTAAAGAATTTTAATATCTTAAATCAAGTAGGAAAATTTTTAAATTGAGTAAAATTTATTTACCATTTAATTTATTTTCCATTTAATTCAATACGGAAAAAAGAAAAAATTACATTATAAATAGTAATAAGTGTCGCATCAAATTCAAAACTAGAAAAATCGCACACAGAAAAAAAAATTTTGTTTAATCAAGTATATAATTTTGAAGAACTTAATCTTCTTGATTTAAGTAGAAAAATTCTTGAACTAATAAATTTTTCTTGATTTAAGGAAATTTTACTTGATTCAAAAATTTGTCGTCTTAATTAAAGACAATTACTCTCTTAAAAATTATTTTCTTAGTTCAAGAATTTTTCTCTCGAATCAAGTTAAATTTTTTTTCAGTGCAGTACGAAATAACATTTTTAAAATTCAAACTTTGAATGTTAATTTTTACAGCTTTAAATGTCATAGTTATATTTTACTATGTAATTCTTATAAAATCTGTAAAAATTACAATCGGAAACTGTAATTTTTTTTTCTTTATCTTCTTTCCGTACATTAAACTCTTCAAAATAATGTTTTTAGCTCAAGAATTTTCTCTTTAATACGGAAAGAAAAAATGTTGTAAGGAAAACTACACAGTAAAAAATTTATTATTAAATATTTAACACTTTCATGTGTAAATTAAACATTTTTTTGTGTTAATTCTCTTAAGGTAGTACGGTTATGAAAGCAATATTTCAAGAAATCCTCGAAACTTTGAATATAAGTCATTAAATACATAATACATATGCTGTTAAAATTTGAAGACGATTTACCACACCAAACTTGAGATAATTGCAATTGAAAATGACATTTTTGTACATGTAACATCGGAGAAGCGTGGGGAAAATGACAGTATTTTTAATTTTTTCCATCGAAGGAATTTCAAGAATTTATCAAAAAACTAATAGATTGAAGAATATGATATTTCGAACAATTAAAAAAAAAATGAAAATTTTCTACCATGTATAGTTTTCGAGATTAATTAAAAACAATTTCACTTTTAGAGGATTATTTTTAGGAGAGGGGGTACGAAAAACAGCCGCTAGTCACTGAAACCGTAGTGTGTGTGTATATGTATAGAGAATATAGTAGTCGACGAGTACAGTAACGTTAAAAAATCTTAACCTACAACCTTAGCTCTGTCGATACGTATAACATGGATAGCGAGTCAAAATTTTTGATCTGGATTGTCGCGGAGGTACTACCTTAAATCAACACAAAAAAATCTTAAGTATTTAACACAAATTTTTTTTTAATTTCAAGAAGAAAAATTATTGAGTCAAGAAATTGGCCTTGACTTAAGTAAACTTTTCTTGTCTCAAGAATTTTTTCTCTTTATTCAAGAAAATCATTTTCTTCAAATTGGTATACTTAGTTCAAGAATTTTTTCTTGAATGAAGTTAACTTTTTTATCATTGTGTAAAGGGGTGTGTTGAGGCTTGCACGGAAGTGATGCTAGATGTTATTAAAATAATAGCTATTTGTTTATAGTTGACTGTCTGAGAACGTACTTGCAGGCTGATATCAAAGGCCCCAGGTAAGCGTAGGAAGACAACGTTGATATCTGGCTATCAACTTGTCTTACGCTCGGTGGTGATGGTTGCTTGGGCCATTCCCATATCGGAGGTTGCACACTCACCGCGGGGAATCCGCCCATATGACAAATCCTACATATATCAGTGGTTGATAGATGTGATTCGTCTACAAATATTTTTTTTTTTTCCAATAACAAACAATAAGAGTCTATAAATCATAAATTATGTTGGATTTTTTGATAATTTCGAACTATGCTCAACTTACTGCGTTCTAAACTCGATAGAATTGATCGTGATCTTGGTATTACGGGTTCATTTTGTGATACGCCAACTTGATCTATTAATTATTGATTATCGATTATTAATTATCATTATTTTGATTTAATTGAATCAAATTTATAAATAAATCTCATTCTTACCAATCGCTTGAGCGTTCTCCGAATTTTCCAGCTCTGCGTTGGACATCAAGACCAAAGCAAATCTTCCATTCCTCGAACTGTACTATTAACAAAATTTTATAACGAATAATTTTGATTAATTTATAATAACCTACAAATTTAATTGAACAAAAACAAAACAAATTACGAAATAAAAAGTATTTTTTTATTGCAAGTTAGCCTAAACATGTTAGGTTGTAAAAAAAAAGAAGTTCGTTTTAATTCGATGTAATAAATATAAAAGTATTGGATATTCTTGAAGTTAATTCCAACAGATAGTTAATTTTTATAGACTGTTCAAATTTTAAGAGTGAATTTTCAATCGATTCTAAAATAAATTATAAATTTTTTTAATAACTAGAAGTTTTTAAGCTGAATTTCAATCAATTGATTTTTTTTGTAAAAACAATTTTTTTTTATTTAATATGCTCTATTATTCAAACAAACAGACGGGTGCAAAATTATTTAGTATAATATATTTGTTAAAAATTTTTAGTCAGCAAAATTTCCTATAATTTTGAAATAATAAATTTTCTTAGAGAAATAATCAAAAATTCGAGATTTAGCGGTCAATTTTTTAACGAGAGTATATACTAATGAGAGGACTTTTTTTATTTCCATTAAAAATATCAATGATTTAATGCTCACCTAATAGTTAGTAATTAGTTCTAATCTTAGTACTAGTCTGTCGCCTGATATATCAGTCTACCTAAGAACTTCATTAAGCCTCATAAATAATTATTACCGAACTAATCTATATTATTAAGAGAATAAGCAAAATTTTGTGGCCAGTGTATTTGTATGATAAAATGGGTTTTTATGGATAAATTTGGTATCGTTGGAAAGGACTTGACACTATTCTCACCAACAGTCAATTTATAATAAGTATTTAGGCTGCATTCAAAAATGCTCTATCTCTAGATACATTATTAAGAAATGATCTTGTATCTTGTGAACTATTGACATTTTTACCGATATAAGCTCATCCCGATGTTACACTCATCAAGACCTTTCATTGAAGTACCCACATCAATCTTTTATCTATTTATATATGTATATATGAAAAATATATCAAAATGCATGTGGGTACTCAAATGAAAGCTCTTGATGAGTGTAATATCGGGATGAGTTTATATCTTTGCAAATGTCAATAATTAAGAACTGACATTGCTATTTTGTCAAATAATGACATTTTTAACGATATAAGCTCATCCTGGAGTTACACTCATCGAGACCTTTCATTTGAGTACCCACATCAATTTTTCATATATTTATTATTTATATATATTATATATATGTATATATGAAAAATATATGAAAATTCATGTGGGTACTCTAATGAAAGCTCTTGATGAGTGTAACATCGGGATGAGCTTATATCTTTGCAAATGTCAATAATTAAGAACTGACATTGCTATTTTGTCAACTAATGATATTTTTAAAGATATAAGCTCACTCCGACATTACACTCATCGAGACCTTTCATTTGAGTACCCACATCAATTTTTCATATATTTATATATATTATATATATGTATATATGAAAAATATATCAAAATGCATGTAGGTACTCTAATGAAAGCTCTTGATGAGTTTAACATCAGGATGAGCTTATATCTTTAAAAACTTTAATAGTACAAAAAGTACAGTGCAATTTAACAAAAGTAATTATTTAATTAAGCAAAATTTTATTTATTTATAGTTCACAAGTCACGGCAGTCACGCAGTGACTGCAAAGTAGCTAGTTTTATTTATTCTCCAGAATAATACACTGTTACTCCATATACAGAAAAAAAATTTTAGGAAAAATTACAATTGTCACATCGTAATTCAGGACCAGACTTTCAATACCGTACGAAAGTAGTAAAATATCCGAATTTTTACGATATAATATCATAAATTATAAGATGTAAAATTACGATGTTACAATTATAATTTTTCCTACATAGTTTACCCTAGTTAAGATTTAAGATGTATTACATTTCCAGATCGGACTTTTACCCTACTTACAAGCACGCTATGTTAAGTAAGTAGCGTAAGTGTAGAAAATTTTGAAATATCGTAGAACCGGAAACTGGTTAGCAGTTATATCCAGGAAATGTCGTGTCATCCCAGTTGGATGTTTCCAAAAGCAATTTTAGGTACTTGGCACAAGTTTAACTGTATCGGGATTCTGTGGGTGGACTTATCCGTACACATAACATACAACATCAGAACATCACACACTGCGTGTTCTATGCACTTGCTACAGGGGTCTTCAGTAAACCACCAGCTAGCTCTATTCCTCGAGCATTTGATGTTAGATAAATGTATCCACCACCTAGCGTCTAACTGTGATACATTAATATAATTTAGAATTTAGAATCTACAAATATAAATTCATATGTTCTTGAGCGGTATGATATTCCGGCAATCCCTGTACCGTACGAGAGTTGTTTCCGGTGTAGCTGTTTCTCTGGGAATTAAATCATTAAGATCAGCTACTAGTGCAAATTTATTAATAGGTAAAGAGGAAGAAAAGAGATGGAAGATGGAGAATGGAGAGAGTAAAGAAAGCAAAAGAAATGAATGAATAGAATAAATAAATAGAAATAGAAAAATAAATATTAATGTAATGGCGAAATCCGTCATCGTCGTACCGTGCCGGACGTTAACCGTCACGGTTTATCAGATTAGACAGCTAGTCCATGCCATTTACTCTCATGTGTACAGCCCAAAACATTAAGAGTTAGATACTAATTACATTTATGAATTATCGAGAGTCTAATAATAGACGAATTAATTCACGGTTCCGCGGTGCCAGGGAACTTTAACCGCCAAATCTTCAAGTCAATCCAAATTTATATATTATATATTTACGCACACTTGTGCTAACAGATACACTTGTGCTTGAGAAATTCGCGTACCGTAGAAAATACTTCACGGAAACTGTACTTAGAAAAATAGAAAAACATTTGTATAAGAAATAAGAATGACAGCTACACTTATCACTCTATAACTCAACTTCTATGTTAATTAAATGGCTCATATAAAATACACCACCAGACATTTGCTTTAAATTTACGTTTTTTTAATTTTCTAATTATTTATTTTCAATTACAAATTGTAGTTAAAAATACATTGGGGAAGAGAGTGAGGGTAAGACCCCTAGGAAAAAATTAACTTTGTAATCTCAAGTGCACTGAATCTTTATTTTTTCACTTCTATTTCGAGAAAATAAACAAAGTCATCTGCGAGGAAAAAATTTTTTTCGTTGAAAAAAAGTGGTCTGGAAATTACGTCGGTTTTTTTTTTTTTTTAAGTTGACAATTATTAGTTGTTTTATCGAAGTTAAGAGTTCAATTGAACCATTTTCAGGCAATGTGTAATACAACCTACTTAAGGATGTTATTTTATCAAGAATTCTCAACAGATTCTAATGAAATTCGGTACACATATTTCTCGGACAAAAAACATGAAAATAGTTTCTTTTCTAGTTGATTATACTTTTTTTTTTTTTTTTTTAAGAAATCTACCTTCATTCTCGGCTGTGGCCGAATGGGCTTTTTTTTAAGTTGATTAATCTGAAAATATCGATGACGATTCTCTTCGAGCTGAAAAATTTAACAATTGTTGAAAAAGGCTATTTAACACGAATATTTAAATCGTAAAATGTCTTGGATAAATTAGCCAATTTTCATTAGATTTACAAATTTTTTTAAGTTCCGCATAATGGTCGGATCCAGACAATTAGTATCAGAATCTCGATACATAATTAAACCCCACAACTATTTGCACATCAGATAAACATAATCGAAGAACAACAAATGGTACAAAAGTTTACGATAAAAATTTTTATGATGTTAAAATTCAAACTTAAACTTTGTCATGCTCTTACTCTTTAAAAGTTCTAACAGAATTTTTTTTCCACTAACATCGATCCAAAATTCATAAAATTAATTTCTAGAATCAATTGTGGGTTGAATATACCGTCGATCCCTCCAAAGGTGCTGTATCTGGACAAGGACTATCGTCAAAAGTGTTTCTTCCCCTGATCTTCACCATACCTTCTTACTCTCTGATGCAAGTTTTGAAAACAATAAAAAACTTGTGCATGTTTTATTAGTTGATTTCATGAAACCAAGTCGGTCGAATAGTTCGGAAATTAATCCAAATTTTAAAAATACAAACTATGACACTTTTGCTATTTCTTTTGAAAATAATTTCTGAATGCAATGATTTCAAATTAACTGACAACTTTTTCACCAATTTAATAAAATTTTATTATTGCATTCTTTTTATAAACTGAGAGAAAAAATTTCTTTTGAAAAAAATGAGCCATGTTGTATTTAGAAATTTATTTGTTGAAAATTTTTAACAAATTTATTTCTTAATAATTTAATCTAAAATTATTTTTTTCTAAATCGAAAAAACTTTTTTTTAACAAGAAAGTTTTGGCGAGAAAAATTTTTATTTCTTCAGCTAAGATTTTAAATTGTTTAAAATCTCCAACAAATTAATTTCTTGTTACAACAATGCCCATTTAAAAAAGAAAAAATTTTCTCTCAGTGCACGGAAAAAAGAAAAATGGAAAAATTACATTATAAATAATAATAAATGTCGCTTCGTATTTAAACCTAGAAAAATTGCAGTTCACAGCTTTAAATAGAAAATTTACATTTTACAATGTAATTATTACAAAATCTGTGAAAATTACAATCTAAAACTGTAATTTTTCTAGTTTTCTATATGAAGCGCCACGTTACATTATACAATGTAATTTTTCTCTTTTTTTGTGTGTGGATTTTGCAAGTTTCTGGCTGCTCTGATAAGTCTATCTTTATTTCGGTTGCGAAATATTTTTTTTTTTGTATAAAGCCTTAGTTCTTATTTATTTCTAAAATAATTTTTTACAAGACCTTTTTGTAGCAAGTAAAATTTTGTACCTGCAATTTCTTAATTAAGACCAACCCACCCACACTGAAAAAATATATATGCGCATATATGCTGGCAAAAATACATATACGTCGCACATATAAAATATACACGCCACATACTTTTTTTTTGCTCCCGTATATGCGGCATATATTTTTTTCAGTACGGGCACAAAATTAAAAATACTTAATAAAAAATTTTCTCAACAATCATAACCTACTATAAATGTATAATAGTCATCAATATCTAAAATGCGAAGCGAATCACCACTTCTAACTAAGCAAACAACGGTAACTATATCAAATAAAATTTTTTTAGCATTTCGGTAGCAAAAATAAAAATAACCCAATATTATTGCTGAAAGACAGGTGCCAAGACAAATTGAATTTTCTACCTTTCTCTTTAACTCTTAATGCCTATATCTCTTTCTAATTTTACATTCACCCCGCTGAACAGAAGCAGCATCAGCACCGCAGTACTACTGTTGCAAGAGAAGCTATTTATGCCAGGTGGCTTGCCATTTACCCACGACATTTTTGGTTCAAGATTAATTAAACGCAACTGGAAATAGTTACACACTGAAAATACACAGAATAAGCCTGTGGTAACCCTCGTTGATTCTTCAGCTCTCTCTTACCATTCGCAAGAACTTTTGCTGTATATAACTCTCAGAATGGAACTTATACTATATACCATACTCCTAAATACACACGAGTCACCTAGCACACGTGATGTCGATCTTCACTCATACATTCACCCTCAAGAACAGTTGAATAAATCAAAACAAAATCAAATCAAAATGCATCGCAGTTGCTACACCCTAAGAACTACATTTGTATGTTGTTAAATTTATTTACACTAAATGATACATCAACTCTACTCCTAGCAAGCATTTCACCTAGATCATTCTTAGAATTAAAGTGACCGAGACTAGTCAACCAGTCACAGACACTCTCCAAGGCTTGGGTCACGTTCAACTGAATGGAACTAGGCTCATTCATGATCAATTCAATACAACGTAAACCACTTAGCTCTAAGTTATTTCTATCCTCTAAACAATAATTAATTTTGTGATACGCGCAAAAATAATTCAAGTCTTTTTTCAAAAAGGGTTTCGATAAATCAAGTCGAAAAAATTGTTTTTTTAATCATTATGAACGAAACAAGACTCTAAGTCATATTTGACTGCAGCATAGAGAGGTTTTGAACATGAAAAAAATTCATGGAACATAAAGACAGAAGTTACTAAAAACCCTTAGGGCTCAGACTTTTACTAACAGATTTTTTTTTTCCATCACTTACACTCGTGCTGGATTTATAGTATACATTCTCAACACCTGTCAACGTTGTCTTTTGTAGCCATTGGGGATATGTCGAGTTTCGTCTTGTCGTTCGATGCACCCGGGTTATCTATAAATAACACTACCGAAAATATAATGAAGGTTTTATGGTTGTCATTGTCGTAAATTTTTAATGCTAAGAGAATAAGTAAAAATAGTTGAGAGAATCGTTAAAAAAAACTTCAAACGTTTATAAACATTAAATGGAGCTGTTGTAAAATTAGTAATTATTAAATTAGTTAGTTAAAAAGAAATTAACCTTTCTTTAATTAATCACTGAAAAAATTTATTTATAAATTGAATCATTGAATATTAAAAAATTGAATAGGTTTTGAAAATGTTTATTTATGGATTTTTAATCACATATTTTAGGAGAAACTAAAAATAATTTAGTTTCAAATATATTTAGAATGGATACAATTTATACATTTTTATATAAATCAGAAAAAGAAGAAAAATAAGGCAGTTTGATTTGAAGACTTCTTACATGTTAGGTAAATAGTTCCGCGACAGTCAATAGGTGGCGAAAGGTAGTTCAACGTTTTCTTTTGCACAACGACATATCAAGAAGATAAATGTTTTTCACTCGACATTTTCGATACATTTTGACGAGCTTACCTTCTTGTGGAAAAAAAATTCTTCT